TTTTTTTTTTTTTTGTGGTTAATGCCCTTAAAAATTTACTTACAATCAACACCCTTAATAGTCTAAAAGTTAAAATCCATAAAAAAAAAAATCTAAAAATTAACAGTTAAAACCCTTATTTACATCCAAACTTTGTTAGTAATTTGAGATTTTTTTATAAGTTTCAAATTATAGAAAGTGTTAATTGATTGTGACAATTATGAGAATATTTATTGTAAAAAAACAATATATAAAATACAAATAGAGGGTTTAGCCTATTTTTTAGGTAAATTAGTACAAAAAAGTAATAAATACACTTTTAAAGCATATGTTTAAATATATATATATATATATATATATTTGCAAAAGTATATCACAGGTTGTAAAGTAAATCAAGAGTTTTCCTTTGAGGTAGACTTTATTATGGAATGTTATTAAAGTCCCATGCCTTTTAAATTTGCAAGGCGCATGTTACTCTATTAATAAAAATTCGTATTCAAAGTTTGTTATTTAAAAGAAAAAATTAAAAGAAAACTTCCTTTTTAGTGAGGAGTTTGAGATTTTACCATTTATGTATTGATTTATAAAATCAAAACTATCATATTTCAGATATTAAGATTAATTTTTATTTAATAGTTGATTTTGTGAGATTTAAACTCCACAAAATATTTTTGATAAAAAAGTATCTAAATAGAAAAATTTAACTAACGACCTAAATAATTCAGTACTTATCTCTTTTTACTAAAAGTAAAAGATTCCGACTTTAAATCGTATGAATGTACATGGGGTGAAAAGAGAGATAAAAAATAATTTCCTCCAATTATCCAACCAATATAATAATAATAAAAAAAAGAAATATTTAAGGACTAGGCAAACCGTTCTCAGACTTTGGCGGTCCACTGCTCCACTTCTATATTCCTTTTTCAAAGCAAACCCACTGGCAGTGGCACCGCATTGTTTTGCATAGCTCATCACCTTTTCCTCCAAAGCGCCTCTTTGGTACCGTGGTTAAAATTCGACGGATAGCGAGTAGTAAGTAACGGGTAGCGACTAGCGGTAGCAGGTAGCGGGTAACGGTTAGCGAATAACGGATGGCGGATGACGGATAACGAAAAGTGGATAGCAGATGGTAAATAGCGAATTCGATAAATATAACTGTTTGGTTATACAATAGTTAGCGGTTGTTGTTTAACATTAAATGACTAATAAGGACATGTTTAAAAATAAATAAGTATATTTTTTAAAATATTTGTA